TCGTCTCGTGATTCTCCTGCAGCATCGTCATGGCAATGGGCCATTAATCCAGTTCGAGTATTGTGGTTGTTAATGGCGACGGTGGCGGGATTGACGGCGATCTGGGCGCGTGGAGTCCAAGTACATCGTCTACAATACTACTTCCAGGATTGTTCCTGGGAAGCTCAACGTTCATTTGGTGGCTCATACGCACGATGATGTTGGTTGGTTGAAGACTGTCGATCAGTATTACGTCGGTTCTAATAATTCCATTCAGGTCATCATTTATTTTTTCCTTTCATCTTCTCTTTCTTTTTTTATTTCAAAATTTTCTGGTCTGAATCTGTTTTTTCTTTTCGGTTTTCGTTAACGCAGGGAGCTTGTGTTCAAAATGTGCTTGACTCTATTGTTCCCGCTCTATTGGCCGATAAGAACAGAAAGTTCATTTACGTTGAACAGGTCAATTCTTCTACCTCTTATTTCTTCCATTTTACACTTTTTCTTACGTTCTTTTTGACTGTTCGTTTGAATCGGTTAACCGGTTTGTTCGGTCAGAAAACTAATTACGTTTTGTAATTTTGTAGAACCGAACCAACCGAATATATTACGTTTTAAGTATAGTTGAATATATTCAAAATGTATTGCTCTAAGATTCATTTCATAAATTATTTACGTAAAAATATATGTAGCTTTATTTAATTATATAAATATAATATATGAGGTGTTAATAACATTCCTTTTTCCTAGTTTTATTTATTTGTTCATTAATGTTTGGAGTTTTGATTTCATGGAAGTGCTCTTGTCCTCTGATGAACACAGGCCTTTTTCCAGCGCTGGTGGAGGGACCAGAGTGAAGCAGTGCAGGAAACAGTTAGGCGGCTTGTGAACTCCGGGCAGCTAGAGTTAATGTAATTTCAATCTCAGTACATGTATGCGCGTATATATATATATATATATAAGTACAATCTTCATATTAGAAAAAGAAATGGGGTTTGATTATGGAAGAAATGATTTTGGGTCAACATTTAGTTTGTAACTTGAAGCTCAGGTACTTACCAGTGTGAGTAATACAGACACATTATCACTGAAACGGAAATTGGAATTTTGATACATAAACTTTGGTATTGAATAAATTTTTCGGATTTTATTATTAAATAATTGATTGAATCCATTATCCCAAAAGTTTAAACTGATAAAACCAAATCCAATTAATTTTATATATACTCTGTTATCTGTTAAAATTGAAAGTTTGTGACTTCTTATCATTGAGTATTGATTTTTGGTAATCAGAAATGGGGGTATGTGCATGCATGATGAGGCAGCCCCACATTACATTGACATGATTGATCAGACGACTCTCGGACATCGATTCATCAAACAAGAATTTGATATCACCCCAAGAATTGGTTGGCAGATTGATCCTTTTGGTCATTCTGCTACTCAGGCATACTTGCTTGGGGCTGAGGTATGGCTTCTCTCAACCTTTACTCAATCATTTCTTCACCTGTTATACACATTGTATAATCATGAGAAAGGAAAAAAGAATATTTCATGCCTACTAAATTAGAAAATAGTATGTTTATACACTTTTTTGGCTTACTGTGTACATTATCATCATGAACTAAAATAACAGAGTTGTTGGTTTAGGTTGGATTTGATTCCTTGTTCTTTGCACGAATTGACTACCAAGATAGAGCTAAAAGGAAAGATGATAAGAGCCTTGAAGTTATCTGGCGAGGATCGAAGAGTCTTGGTTCATCTGCACAGGTGAATTATTAAGCACAAACCATTTTTGTTTGCAATTATACCATGTTAAATATTAATTTTTCTGAAAGTTAAATTAATAGAAAGCAATATAATCTATTATTTATACATCAACAAGATTATCTAAGACTCTTAATCACTGGTTATATCTCTGCTTTCCAGATTAATGATAACTACTTCTTTACTTCTTTTTCATTATAGATATTTGCTAGTGCATTCCCTGAGAATTATGAACCTCCGAGTAATTTCTATTATGAAGTTAATGATGATTCTCCTATTGTCCAGGTAAAAATTCTTAGTTAAGCATAGCTGACAAAGTCTTGAAAATGTACACTACATGAATATGATGCTATTTTTCTTTCTCTGGCTTGATTCTTGAAGGATAATATGGACTTGTTTGACTACAATGTCCCTGAGCGCGTGAACGAGTTTGTAGCTGCTGCATTATCACAGGTATAATTGATCTTAATGTCAAAATACTAAAAAATGTTCAGTATCTTTTCGAGGTCTTTGCTTTGATGGGATTTGCAAGCTTAAACCGATATGTTTCTTTACCAACATAATATGTGCATCCACTGTTCATATCTTTTCAAGGTTCGTAACTATCATTATGGTTCCTTTTTTTTTTTCTCAGGCTAACATCACTCGTACAAACCATGTCATGTGGACTATGGGGACAGATTTCAAGTATCAGTATGCACATACATGGTTTAAGCAGATGGACAAATTTATTCATTACGTCAATCAAGTTAGTTTTCTTAAGACTTTGTTACAACTACAATTTTGCATTTTTTTTATCTAAGCTTTATCGTTTTGCATTCCAAGTTTTCTTGTTCGTTGTTTCTATTTGGTAAAACTCGATTCCATATGTTAAGATGCCGGTTATCTTCTGTCATGATCAAAAAAGAATGTTATGCGTATAATGATGGTTAAGAAGTTTCCAGCTTGCTTTCTAAA